TTTTCACAACCATAAAGACTACAAATAATTTTTAAAATGGAAGCTTCTGGAGCACAATTCTGTGGCTGGGGTGGATTCCACAGAAATTCTACAGCTGTAGAATCACAGAATACACCAAGGCCTGGGTAGGGCTGATTTGATATAAGGAAATACAGTTAGACATATTACATGCTTCAAATGAACAGCTGAGAATGTATCAGAAACAAAATGGTTTAAATGAAAATTTGCATCATTTAGACATACACCTCTGGACAACGTTTAAATACCTCAAATATGGAAGTGCTTGTTGTACCACCAGATAGAAGGGCATTAAATTAAGGAACTAAGACTTGTAGGTAGAACTGGCCAGGAATTTTTAATCAAAATATCGTTTTGATGGCCAATCTGAAAAACCAAAACATCTCCCAGAAATGGTAAAGTTAATATCAGCAACATTAAGACAGAATAATTTCCCAAATGTATGCAATGTCTGACAGATATGCGGATACAAAAGTGTCTGAGATCACTCTGAAGATTTTGCACTTGAGTGCAAGGGTGATGAAGTTGTGGTACGTATTGCTTTTGGTATCCGTTGGAGGTGTGAAAGCATTATGGTATGTTGGAGTGTGTTATTGCTGTGATGTAGGCAATATGAAAGTGGCAAGGAGGCTTTTTCCTTAATTTGTTATTTCCAACTTTTTCAGATTTTGAGTGGTAGGGTGTGTCCTGATGCAACCTTAACTGTCACTAACAAGTTTTGTGCAATTCATATAATATTCACCTTCTGAATGCAGGATCTTACTTTCCTTTCCGCAAACACACACACACACACACACACACACACACACACACGATACGATGCATCTGTAAAATTTTCCATAAAAGGAGATCACTACCTGTAATCGGAAGTTCTTTAACATGTGTGGTCCCCTATCTGTATTCCATACGTGGGTACGTATGCACACCATGCGCCTGAGGCTGGAAAATCTTGCAAGTGGCGTAGGTTGGTCCGCTGCTGCACCCTGGATCTCCTTGTGCTCGGCACTGCAATATAAGGGGAGATGCAAACCAACCGCCTCTTCAGTTCCTTCTGTACCATGAATCCAGTCACAACCCGAAGCAGAGGGGAAGGCGTGTGGGTAGTGAAATAGTTTGAACGGTCTCCAAACTGAAACACTTTAGGTCTGATGCCCATCCAAATACCAAGCCATGAGGTGAAGAGATTCTGAGCTGGGGTATTTGATCCTGCTATTCTCTGGAGTTAGCAGGTCCAGGAAGGACTGAATGCTGATGGGTTGACATTCATAGGAGGACCAGAAACCAGAATTGTCTGGGACAACTTGTGATGAGAATGACTCGTGCTTTGTCGTAATGCATTTTCTTAGAACCTGGGGTAGTAGTTGGATGGGAGGGAAAGTGTACGCTCAAGTAGCTTGTCCAGGACAGTAGGAGGGCACTGTCACTAGAGTCCTGATCCCGTGCTGCTCTCAACAATATACATTGAACTTCTTAATTAATTAGCCTCTTAGGAGTTGGTTTGGTAACTTCCACCTTTTCATGTTCTCTTTATGTGTATATATATATATATATATATATCTTCTTACTATATGTTCCATTCTATGCATCTGATGAAGTGGGCTGTAGCCCATGGAAGCTTATGTTCAAATAAATTTGTTAGTCTCTAAGGTGCCACAAGTACTCCTGTTCTTTGTATTGAACTTCTTGTTCATCTGGAAGGTGAACAGGTCCCAAGATGGCATTCCCCACTGACTGAAGATGTTCAGCATTGAATTGTGTAACTGCCACTCATGATTGGTGGTGAAATTGTAATGTAGTTCTATATACACCAGGTCCATAAGTTGAGCACCTCCACACACAGTGAGAGGGATTTTTGCCCCTCCCTGTTTGTTTATATAGAAGATGGTCGTCACATTATCTGACATTATCTGGACAATGACAGGATCATAGGAATGGGAGGAATGCATTGCAGGCCTGTCTGACTGCTCTTAGTTCCAGGGGATTGATATGCATCTTGCTCTCCCCAGGTGTCCACATATCTTGTGTTGGATGACCACACATGGGGGCTTCCCAGCCTATGAGGGATGCCTCAGTGATTATTGTCATGTCAGGTGACAGGTCAAGTGGGAGGTAAGAATAGGACCCCAATGCACATGTGTTCCGGGCTCATCTATCAAGACCTTATTCTGATAGGGACTATCACTATAATATTCATTCTGTGTCTGTATGGCGTATGTACTGACCAGAACCAGGTATGCAGACAATGGAGATGCAGCCTGGAGAACTGCTTTATGTAAATACAGGAGGCCATGTGACCTAGCAAAGACAGACAGACCCAGACTGTTGTTCAGGGTTTGTGAATGACTTGACTTATCAGACTGCTTACGGCATGGAATATCTCCACAGGGAGGTAACACCTTGCTGCAGTCAAGTCCAGAGTTGTCTCTATAAAGTCTATGAGCTCTGCAGCAGTCAGAGTAGACTTTTCCATGTTTACACAGATTTCCAGGAGGAAGAGCAAGGACAAGGCTTCCAACTGAACTTCCAAATGAGATCTGCCTGTTAGGAGCCAGTTGTCCAAATACAAGAAGGATCATCTCATCTGTGGTGCCAGTATGAAGGGGTGAAGGCTTGTTGGGGGGGACTCCAAAGCACTGGGTACCAGCAATCTCTTGGAGGATAACCCTGCTTGGATGAAGGATGGGTCCAAGAACTCTCAAAGCCCTATCTGGACTAACCTCCCTGAGTTGGGGTGGGTGGGTGATGGTTCATCTTGAACCTTGAATTTAGCCAATGAGAAGGCCAGCTCTGGCTCAAATCAGCAGTACTGTTGGTGCCAGTGGGAGGAACCTCTGGTTTGTGAATGGACTAGGGGAGTAACTCCTTGTCCTTGAGTTGGTATTCTTTTCTGGGGGTCAAAATGTCTCTTAGAAGGACTGCGCTCCACAGTACAGGAGATTGTGGGTCGAGGAGGGCCAAGGTCCCCCAGCGTAGAATATGTCTCAGTCCGTCCCAGAGTCTGAGAGGACCCAGGTGTCAGTTCTGCTGTATCCGTTGTCATCACAGACTTAGAGGATGATGGGTCCTTATGGTGCCAGGCTGGTACTGTCAGAGAGTGAGAGAGAGAGAGAGAGAGAGAGACCTACCTGAAGCTCCTGGTCAGTGCTGGAAGATGTCGGTCCTTTGGCTTACTAGCGGTCATGGTTGGTTCTGGTGTCAGCACTGGGTCGAGTACCATTGGAGCTTTGCTCCTCTGTGCTTTCCCTTTGTGGTCAGGAGGCTTAGGGAGACCCAAGTCCTTGGGACCTGTGTGTGAAGACTCACCCAACTTGGAAGGAGTCAGGCAGGGATTCCTTCTTCTGGAAGCAGTTTAGAGGGGAAATCTGTTTTTGTGTGTGTGTGAGGGTGCCCCTTACTCTTATGAGATGTCTGAGACAACAGGTCTTTAGGTTTATCTGATCTGGCCTCTACTCCTGAGCTCATGCTCAGTGGTGCGCTGCTTGAGGACTGAGCCTGATGTACAAGCGGGTCTCCCCGGCGTGGATCTGACTAGGGTGTCATGGCTTTTACGATGAGGTGCCTCCTCAGTCAGATCTTTCATCCCTCTTGGGTCTGGAGTTGGAAAGAGCAACAGATACTGCACTTGGAGGAGATATGAGCCTCCTTAAGGTAGGCTGGTGGTCACCGATGACTGCGAAGAAGCAAGGACAGTTCTTGAACCCTGGAATTCTGGGTATAGTCCTACTCCTGAAAAAGAGGGGACAGAGAAGGTCCCCAGGGTGGGGAAAAACTAAACTACACTATGTAAAATATCGTAAAACACTAACAAACTATGTACAATTATATTTACAGAGATAAAGGTGACGAGAGGATAATTCCAGACACAGAGGAGTCCAAATGAGATCATGTAGCAGTAGGAAGGAACTGAAGAGACGGTTGGTCTACACCTCCCCTTATACCCTCAGTGCTGAGCATGAGGAGATCCAGGCAGTGGCGGATTAACAAATTTGCCACCCCTAGGCCCTGAAAAAATTGCCGCCTTCTCCCCCGCCCCCCACGTCAGCTCACCTCCACTCCCCCGCGGCAAGCCTGGGAGGGAGGGGGGAGAAGGGGAATTGCAGCGCGCTCAGGGGATGGCGGAGGTGAGCTGGGGCGGGGAGCAGTTCCCTGCCCCCCAAGGGTTACTCCCTACGCTCGCCGGCCCCAGCTCATCTCCGCTCCGCCTCCTCCTCTGAGCGCGCTGCTACTCGCTTCTCCTCCCTCCCAGCGCTTTCGTGCAGCAAGCCTGGGAGGGAGGTGGAAGGAGGGAAGCGTGGCGAGCCCGGAGGAGGAGGAGGCGGGCCGGGGATTTGGGGAAGGGGGGGGGCGGGGGGGGGGCGGGGGGGGGGGGGGAGTGAGCAAATTTGCCGCCCCCGCAAATTTGCTGCCCTAGGCCTAGGCCTTGTTGACCTAGACGATAATACGCCGCTGGATCCAGGGTATAGGTGCAGACCAACAGATGCGCCTTGAAAGATTTTCCAGTCTCAGGAGCCTGGTGCTCATGCGTACTCATGTGTGCAATGCAGGTAGGGACCAGCCCTCAAAGAAGAAAAATTGTTTCAACTGGTATTGACTAATCGTTTCTAAAACAACTCCTCTTCCAGTCATGGCACTCTCAGACATGACCTCTACTAAATTACACCTCCTACTCAAAGGAATATCAACAGGAACAAATATAAAAGTTTTTTCTATTAGTCACATTACTGGGTATAAAAAGACATCAGATTACATTCTTTCAAAAACACTTAACATTTAAATGCTTTTGTCCTTTGAATGTTTTCCCCTTTTATTTTTAGTCAAATAAAGTCACTTAGGATTTTACCAGCAAGAAGTTTCTTTTTTAAAGGAAAATGAAATAATGGAAAAAATTTCAAACGAGCTTTGTAACTGTTTGCACTTAGGAAAAAAGTTACATCATATTTGCTCTTAATCTTTTCACAGGACAAAGAACTCAAAACCCTTACCATTTGCCTTGATGATTTATAAACTGTTGAACTGCATATCCAAACTGCTCACTTGAAGGACCAGAAAACAATTTTGCTTCTGGGAGCCCAACGTTGTATGCTTCACAGCAATTATGAAGAATGCCTGTTAACAGGAAGATTAATATTACTGTAAATAGCAATTAAAGAAAGAATCTTGATTCCACTGAAACAGCCCATCTGTCTATGCCAACTCCCCTTAATATAGCAGTTAAAAATGTGGCCTTTGACACACCCAATAAAAATCAACGTTTCTCCCACCCCTACACACGAATAGCCATCTATGATTATATGAATGCTTGTCAGTGCACTATATGGGCATGACAGTACAGCAGACAGAGTTTAATAACCTATTAACTACATTGCTTAATAAATCTTGTAGCGCTACCAATGTGTGTGAATCCAAGAGACACAATGAATATATTTTCATATATTTTACTGTAGTCTTTAATACTCCATTATCTTTGGATATATGGTAGCCTTCTAGCATCGGATTTCCTAAAGACCTATTTATGTACACTATAATGAAGAACAACTGATGACAATAAGTACTTTTTATACCATATGTATTCTAATGCTACATTTGAAATAGAACACAATCAAATCGATCAACTCCTTTATCATCGAAGGTCTACAGTTTCGGGCCACTTTATTTTCACATATTAAGTGTTTGTTTTCTTCTGAACAAACCACTGAGAAGATAAGCTAATAAATGGAAGCCTGGGAAATATAGGGCTAAGTTAATAAATAAACTATACTGTACTTAGCATTTAAACTGCACTTTGCATCTTCAAAGCACTGACCAGATATTAACTAATTAAGCCTCATAACGCTATTGTGAAATTGGAACTGAAAAAAAAAAAAAGTAAAGAAATTACCTCAGCCATCTTGTCTCTCTAAAACTCTTGTGAGGCACTAAGTATCATCCCTGTTTTACATATTTTTTTCCTCACACATAGTGAGTGACATGTACGTGGCCATTCAAGTTGGTGACGGTGCCAGGATCAGAATTTAGAGCTCCTGGCTTCTCTCTTGTGTTTAGCTGACTATGCTTCTCGCCCATCTATAAATAACAACCACCAATATATAGTACTTATATAACTGGTTAATATAAAATCATCTAAAAGTTAGCTCAAAGATCAATTCTGACTGTGTGTGCTACCCATACAAACTATAATTGTGTGCTCATCAGAAAATAGTACAGCTGAAAAATTATAGTGGGCCCTACATTCCAGAATGGACAGTTATACCTATTTCTGTTTACACATACAGTACATCACATAACATTTATGTACTAACAGTGATCTTACATGAGATATTAAGGAACTTTAGGATTTCTTATATTAGTGATAGGAGTTTAAGGGTTCCTTATAATAGGGATCTTAAAGGGTTTCTTCAAATCTATGACATGTTTCAAAGTCTTAACTTAAGAACAGGGGCATCATTTCAGAAAGATTCAGGGGTGGGGTGGGGAAGGACACAGTTGAGTCAGCACATAAAACATTATATGTGATTATATTGTATCCTGCAATGTTGAGGCAGCGGTTGGGGTAGTGGAAGACATAATGGAGAATATAGACCTATGAAATGTCTGGGGAGGGGGGGAACTGCCTCTCCACCCAATAGCAAATGCTGCCCCTGCTTAAGAATTAAAGTCACAGGTCAATGCATTCCTTCAGCCTTGATGGGTATGTCAGTAGTTACTGTGCCTGACTTTTTTTTGGCAGTCTCAAGACCAGTTTTGGAAGAGATTTTAAGAGGGATACCAGTCATGGACCCAGGCAACCTGAATACAGCCCATCGTATTATACACTATATTGAGCATGTGATGTTCTAAGGCAGCGGTTCTCAAATTTTAGCAACCTGAGAACCCCATTTTGATTTAAAGTTTTTTGGGGACCCCCAATCCCTCTCACACAGCCCCAGGTCCCGCCCCCACTCCACCCCTTCCCCCCGTCCCACCTCTTCCTGCCCCCCACTCACTCCATCCCCCCTCCCTTCATCACTCACTCTCCCACCATCCTCACTCACTTTCACCAGGCTGGGGCAGGGAGTTTGGGTGTGAGAGAAGGTGCGGGATGCAGGCTCTGGGAAGGAGTTTGGGTGCAGGGCTCTGGGCTGGAGAAGGGGGTCAGGGTGCAGGAGGGGGTGAGGGGTGCGGGCTCCAGCTGGGCGGTGCTTACTTCAGGAGGCTCCCAAAAGCGACCAGCACATCTCTCTGGCAGCGGCTCCTAGGCGGGAGGGCCAGGGGCTCTCCGCATGCTGTCCCTGCCCGCAGGCACCGCCCCCATAGCTCCCATTGGCTACAGTTCCCAGCCAATGGGAGCTGTGGAGTCGGTGCTCGGGGCGGGGGCAGGGCGCGGAGACCCCTTGCCCACCCCTCCCCCGCAGGGGCTGCAGGGACATGCCAGCCGCTTCCAGGAGCAGCGCAAAGCCAGGGCAGGCAGGGAGCCTGCCTTAGCCCTGCTGCGTCACTGGACTTTTAGTGCCTAAGATCTCCCAGTTTGGCTTCAGTAGCCTCCGGGAGATAGAACCTGATTCCAGAAGACTTCTAGTGAAACCAGGAGGGTTGGCAACCTTAGTTGATCAGCGGGGCTGGCAGCCCTGGACATCTTCCCCTGAGCGCACCCCGTCCCTGCTCCTGCCTCTCCCTCCCAGCACCTCCTGCACGCCGGGGAACAGCTGTTCCCTGGCGTGCAGGAGGCGCTGGGAGGGAGGGGAAGGAGTTGATCAGCTGGGCCCACGGACCCTCTGCAGTACTCTTGGGGACCCCCAGGTGTCCATGGACTCCAGTTTGAGCAACGCTGTTCTAAAATGAAACCTGAGGGTGCAAAATCCACTTAAAATAAGCAAAATTTCAATAAACTCTCCTAAAACCATATCTTAACTCAAAATATATAAAGAGAAAGCAAAATGTTCCTCATAGAAGAATACACATAGCTTGCATATTTATTAACATTTGGTGGTGAACTCAAGACAGGAAATCATATATTAGTCATACCAAACAACCATTATCTACTGATGACTGCTTGAAAGTGGGTGATTACCTTTCGCTAAGAGTTAAGTCATTTAAGAAATATGGTTAAGAATGAAAGAACTTCCTTTGCCACTAAAAATCTGATTGGTATTGCGGAGAAGGAAGGATATGAGCGGACATAATACTGTGTATATTTCACAATACTTCCTACAGTAATCACAACCAGCTACACTGGCAGCTAAATGGATCTTTTAAAGGCATTTCATATGTAAAAAATTGATTACTGTAAAGCTATTGCCAATATATCTGTTGTGTTCCAAATTCCTGGCACTTTATCTCAACACCATCTTTAAGTTGCACCTTAATTTATTCTCATGTTATCATCAGTCAAAAATCATACATAATTGAACAGTGCATCAGCTAACAGCATCTCACTTAAGACTCTTGGTACCGACATATGGAACTGACATCCTAAGAAACTGCCTGAGAATCTCCTGTAACATTATTGTGTATTCTATTTTGCCCCATGTAACTACATATAGACCAGTGGTGTAGCTAGGAGTGGAAACCTGGGTGGGCCCCCAATTTATGGCAGATTGTCAATGACCAAAGTGCTGAGATCATTTTAGTAAAGAATCATTGTCACTCTGCTCAGTCTGTTGTGCAGGCAGCCCATCTGCTCCTCACTCCACTCAGCAGCGGAGCCCAGGCCGGCTCAGGTACGGCAAGTGGGAGCAGCACACTCTGGCCGGGCAGGGGATCCCAGGCCATCAGCACCAGCACTCACTTGGGCTACTATGGAGTTAGCTCCAGCCTGGAAGGTGTTGCCTTTGCAGGCAACTCTGCCCAGGCTCGCTGTAATGCTGGGTGGCTCATCCATAATGTGATGATGGGGACCTGCAGGGGGAGTGGAACCTGTGTCTGTGAGCTGGCAGAGACAATGCAGACAGTCCTGGAGGCACCACGGAGCTATGTGCCAGGGATATCCCTTAGCCGGCTCCTCTGCTGGCATCCTCTGAGTTGCTGGGCTGAGCCAAGCCCAGTTGCAGAAAACTGCCTTTCTCCCCTCTGACCTTACCCACCGCCTGCTCCACCACTTTCTGACTTGCTTCTTCCTCTACTCCTAACTGCCCCCCTTCTCCTACCACTACCCCCACTTTCTGCCCCTGCCTCCTCCCCCCACTCATAATTCCCCTTCTGCAATCACCACAGCACTCCTTCTCCTATCCATTACCCCTTACACACGACTGCCTTTTGCCCCTTCCCCCTGCCTACTTTCATCAAGCCAGCCAATCAGAGCTAGTAAGAAGTAACCTTGAAAATATGTATCATCTGAAGTATCTCTGTCAATTCACCAGCCTGATCTAACCCAATATTGCTTCACAGTATCAGCTCCAGGTATAAGTCCAAATCCTGGTGAATATGATCTAGTATTGTCCAGCACCCGAAAAATTTTCAGCTGCACTGGGACATGTGCACTGGGACAGCCTGGAGAGTGCGGGGGGGAGGGAGGGAGGGAGCAGTAATGTGTAGCCCCGGGGGCACTCTAATCCTCATTCCCCATGAAAAGTCATGACCTCTGGGCTGCAGCCCCTGTTTTCACAGCTACCCTGCCCAGGCCAGGAGGCTCAGGCAAGTGCCAGGGCCTCTAGTCCCCTGCAACCCAACCTGCAGCACCAGGGGCTTCTCCATTGGGCAGGTATGCGGGTGCCCCAGCCTGTTACCTCCTGCCTCCCCTATGATCAGGCCAGCTGGCACCCCTTTCCCCGTGGCAAGGGAGGAGCTTTACCACTGCACAGGCCAAAGATCTGAGCACCTGTGCTGGCTACAGTGAGGCTGTTGCTAGAGTTTCCTCTTTAAGTCAGGAGGGCATGGGGCATGCATGCCCTTTGAAAATTTTCTGAAGGCACCCCGGCTTCATGTGACATTGAAGTTCAAGTAACAAGTGAGCTCGTATCTTGGGTCTGGTCTACACTACAGTTAGGTCAACAAAAGGCAGCTTACGTCAACCTAACTATGGAGTTTTCTACACTTAAATTTCGCTCCCACTGATATTACTGCCCTGCCATGCCGACTTAATAACTTCACCTCTGTGAGCGACATAGAGTCATGGTTGATGTAGTTAGGTC